ACACACACACACACACACACACACACACACACACATATTTCTTGATTTTCACAATGAAGGACAATTTATGAACCAGTATGATGACATATACATTTTAAGCAGCAAGGGGCAGCTGTGGATCAGGAAGTCTACCAATCAGAACCAAAGTTTGAGTGTGTGCACGAAAGTTAGACGAGGCATGTAGGTATAGAAGTGTGTGTGTGTGTGTGTGTGTGTGTGTGTGTGTGTGTGTGTGTGTGTGTGTGATTGGTTGTTAGCGTAGCAAAGCGTTATATAAGTGCCGAACCATTTACCCAGGGACCCGGTAACAGTCACAGACACATCTCGACCTCTCTAAGTGGAGTTTCTGTGCTCAGCCACAGAGACTCTGAGTCAAGCTGACATTGAAGGTTAAGGTCTTGAGATTTGATGAAATCTCAAGCATGTCTTTTCCGCAAGAATCTTTTAGGGTGACCAAAGTGAGGCAGGCGTTTCAATAACCTTTATTGCTCCACAATCAGCTTAATAATACATTTCAAATGAAACCAAAGGCAGTGAGGTCTTTGAGTGAGTGCAATTTTTTGTTGAGTCTCAAGGTGAGAAAAGAAGGGAGAAAGTTTGGTTAACACTCTGTGTCCTTGTGTCCTTGTTGCATAAACATTTAGAGACCCTGAGCATCTATTTCAGGTCTGCAGACCCTGACTGGTGTTTTTCTGCCCAACACAGATAAGCCTGAGCAACAGGAAGCTATACAGCAAACACAACCATTAGGTCCCTGCTCTTAATGGATGCAAAGAGCATGCGATGCATATGTTGGTGCCACAGTGAGGCAGCTGATACAATCAACTGGGTTATTTAAAGCAGGAATCAAACAAAACGAGGAAACAGTTTAGAATCATTAAAGCAATAATTCAAGGAGGGTATATTCTCAGGGGCATTATCAAGTCCCCCCCATGTGTGGTGTGTGTTTTTTTTCTCATGCAAAAAGATGCACAACAGCATCAACTAGAAAGGGCACAAAACAATCACAAACAGACAAAAAAAGTTATGCAAAACAATGGCAAAAAGATGTTAAACTAGTAATAATGATGGAATGTCACAGCAAATAGATGGAAAACTACCAAAAAACAAAAGACACAAAATCAAAGAGAAGACATACAACAATATATTCATCTAAAAAATCCTCGAAAGAGTAGTTGTCAAACAGCTAATAGATCACCTGCAGAGGAGAGACTTCTTTGAAGAGTTTCAGTCAGGTTTCAGAGCTCATCACAGCACAGAAACAGCTTTAGTGAAGGTTACAAATGATCTTCTTATGGCCTCTGACAGTGGACTCATCTCTGTGCTTGCCCTGCTAGACCTTAGTACAGCGTTTGATACCATTGACCATAATATTCTATTAGATCGATTAGAACATGCTATAGGTATTACAGGTACTGCGCTGCAGTGGTTTGTATCATATCTATCTAATAGACTCCAATCTGTGCATGCCAATGGAGAGTCCTCTTCACACACTAAGGTTAATTATGGAGTTCCACAGGGTTCAGTGTTAGGACCAATTCTGTTTACATTATACATGCTTCCCTTAGACAGTATCATTAGAAGGCATAGCATACATTTTCACTGCTATGCTGATGACACCCAACTTTGTTTATCCATGAAGCCAGATAACACACACCAATTAGTTAAACTGCAGGAATGTCTTAATGACATAAAGACCTGGATAACCTCTAATTTTCTACTTCCTAACTGAGGTTATTGTACTATGTCCTAAAAATCTAAGAAATATGCTATCTAATCAGATTCTTATTCTGGATGGCATTACCTTGGCCTCCACTAACACTGTGGGGAATCTTGGAGTCGTTTCTGACCAGGATGTTCTTCAATGTGCATATTAAACAAATATGTCAGACTGCTGTCTTCCATTTGCACAATATCTCTAAAATTAGAAACATTCTGTCTTAGAGTGATGATGAAAAACTAGTTCATTCACTTTTTACCTTCCTGACTTTTCTCTCCCTTCGTCTGTGTTTTGTTCTGTCTCCCTTTATTTTCTTCTCTTTCCCCTCACCCCTAACTGTTCACTGTGGATGGCTGGCCCATTCTGAGCCTGGTTATGTCAGGGGTTTCTTCCTTTTAAGGAGTTTTTCTTTCTCATCATCACAAAGTGCTTGCACTGTCATCTGATTGTTGTGGTTTTCTCCACTAATTTAAGCTTTTTACCCTACCTTTGTAAGCATCTTGAGGTGACTCATGCTGGGATTTGGGGCTAAATAAACCTGAATTGAATTGAATAGCATAAAACGTGAAGATGAAAGAAAACAAAAGAAACACACAAAATAACAAGAGTAATGTGAAACAATAGCAAAAAGATGCAAAACTACAAAAAAAAAAACACATGTCAATCAACCACAGAGGTGTAAAAAAAAAGCCACAAAAGGAACAATAAATGAGGCATAACTACCACAGAAATTTAAAATGTTCACAAACAACCTTTAAATGGCTTTTAGTGATTAGGAGACGTAGAAGATGTAAGAACAAAACAATACTTGGAAAAACTCTTTGTTTCTTGTTTTGTTTTATGTTGTGGATCGTCCTGTGTCTCCATTTGGTCAAAAAAACCCACAGTTCTGAAATATTTCTGTTTTCACTTAAATTTTGTTTTCATTTGGAGGTTTATATCAGTTTTGTGAAAACAGTGCTGTTAGAGCTGAACCTAGAAAGAAAAAGTTTAGTTAACTGTGTTATGTGTCGCAATCTCTGCTGCTGGGGGCTGGTGTATCTGAGGCTGTCAGACCGGCTCGATTACAGCTGTTATTGTGCCAGATGTTGGTCCAGTCTGAACCTCAGGACTGTGCTGGTCTGACTTCTTGTTCCTTGTTCGACTGTGGAGCTGTTAGAGAGCAGATCTGAGACACTCTGCTGCCACCTAGTGCTATTTAAACAAGTATAAAAACAGCAAAACATGAAAAAGGGCCACTTTATTGTACTGTATTCAACTTTGTAGCATTTTCTATTTAATTTTGTTTCTTTCGCTTTTGTAAATTTTTCCTTATGGTGCAGTTTTATTTTGTGATTTTTTATTGTGTTTAATTGAGCTCTTTTGATATAATTAAGCTATTTGTTGTGTTAAATAATAGAAAATTAAATATTAGTAAATCCATCATGCACATCAACATGATGAACATTAAATAAAATGAATAAGAAAACAGATGTGAAAAGGCCACGTCAATCCACACCAAACCTGATTTGTTATTCTAGTGTACCTGTACATTGTATAGAGTGTATATTCTTGCGTTTTTAATCAACGTTTATGTGGATTTCTCTCTCAAGTCAAAAGGAAAGGACAACTGGCTGATTCTTGCAAGAATTATTTTTACCGTCGCTTTCTGTTGGTGCAGCTCATTATCAAATACAGCCAGCAGGTGGCGTCAAATAACCATAAACTCAGTTTTAAAAGGCTGTGCGGCTTCTGTCTGAGCTGATATCACGCTGCTCCATGCATACAGTCCAAATGCAGCAGAAAGAGTGTGAAGTCATTTTTTTTACTTATGTGTAAAAACAGAAAATATAGCCCGTTGGCTACTTCCTCTGTGGATCTGCTGCAAAGAATCATACATTCATGTATTTGTCATCTTAGAAATTGTTTTGACGGTGACTGCAGACTGAACACAACCTAGATACGTAGTGTTTTAGACAGGTTTCTCTATCAGTATACAACAAAGACCTCTCAGTGCCAGATGCACCTGTACAGACCGCAGAGGTCTCTTGTCTGTTCCAGGGGCCCAGTCGGAAGCTAAAGATCCTCCTGATTTTATTTGAGTTTTGACTTCCTTCAAACTGCTTTTTCTGTGTTTTTCTGTTACTTTGTCCACAGTTAACTGTCTTCCAGTGTTTGTTTATCCTGCTGGTGAAGCTCTCTGCAGTTTACAGAGTGCTACAAGCTTATTATTATTGTTGTTGTTGTTGTTATATCAATTTAAATAGAAAGATTAAACACCCCCAGGAGGTCACGGCACATGCCTGCCCCTCCCTGAGCCTGGTTTTGCTGGAGGTTTCTTCCTGTTAAAAGGGAGTTTTTCCTTCCCTCTGTGGCCATGTGCTCGCTGATCTGATTGTTGAGGTTTTTTCTGTATTTTTGTGGGGGTTTAATCTTACAATATTAACCACCCAGAGGAAACTGCTGTTGTGATTTAGCACTACTGAATTGGAAAAATAAAACATGAAAAAATTGAATGTAATTTTCTTTAACAGATGCTTTAATTTCCTGGACACACTCTCTCTCTCTCTCTGGCCGCCGAAGCTGTCAATCATGCCTCCGGTTCCGCCTTCCGCGCGGACACACCCATTTCCTCACCGGCATTTCATTTATTTATTTATTTATTTCCCCCCTTATTGGAATTATCTGCACGCGCGCAGGGCTGTTGCGTCTGCGCGTGCCGGTCACGGCGGGGTGAGGATAACATTTAAACAGGGACACTCGACCCTCTGTGCGCGCGCGCGCGTGTATGCGTGTGTGGTCCAGCGCACGTCTACCTAGTGGGCGTGTTCCCGCTCCTCCCTCCCTGCAGACCGGTGCATGCGTGTGCACGCGCGAGTGTGATTGCACGCGGTGAAGTCGGGCTTCTTCTTTTTTTTTTTTTTCTTCTTTTTTTCCAGGTTTAATCAGCTGGTTGTTCGTCCTCGCGGCGGCGTCTGCGGTCACGAGTGGGTAATTTCTCTCTGAGTGTGCGTGATTCCCCCCTCCTCCTCCTCCTCCTCCTCCTGCTGCTCCTCAGCGTGGAGAGGTGCGGGGCCACTGCTGGCTGTGTTGTTGCGGCACTGGATGGATCCGAGCATGTTTGCGGGTGAAGCCTCGGGCGGTGCACGCGGAGGGAAATAATTTTCTTCTTGTTCTTCTTGTGTGTGTTTTTTTCTTCTTCTTCTTCCTGTCTACCTGCCGGTCAGTCACCTGCGCTGTGGCGACATGTCAAACTCAAACAAAAGCAAGAAGGACAAAGAAATCCTTGCTGAATACGAGAGCCATGTGAAAGGTAAGCTGATTTCTCGTCATGTGTGAACATCTCCACGCGCATCTGCACCTAAATCTCCCAGTCACACCCACCCTTTTTTCTCTCACCTTTGCATGCTCACGTTAAACTCTCTCACACACACACACCTGTGTGCCAGCACGTTCACCGCTCATGCATTGAGTCCCGTGCAGGGTGTGTTTGTAAGGGAGCTGACACCTCACCGTGAGACGTCAGGATTTCTGGGTTCATCCTGAGTGCTGCATGGCGCCTGAGGGGGAGAGGAGGAGGAGGAGGAAGAAGAGGGGTGTATGTATTCTGCAGATCCTCTTGATCTTTTTCACCCACTGTGTGTGTGTGTGTGTGTGTGTGTGTGTGGTTTTACGCTCAGATCTGAGGCAAGTGGCTGTCTGGTATTTGTATTCCTCTGAGACTGTGACTGCAGCAGTGTGTGTGTGCACCTGATACCCCGGGGACACGCTCAGGTGATGATGATGATGATTGGGAAAAACTCTTAAATAGTGGTTGCTATGATTGTGGGACAACCCCCTCTCCTCCTCTTCCTCCTTCCATCCCTGCTCCGATGGGGCGGGCGAGTCAAATGACCTTTTATGAAAAGCTCTTTACAAGCTGCTTCATTTTCATTTCATGAAGCAGGGTGGATGATGGGAGATCAGCCAAAATCCACCTGTGTCTACATCTGTGTGTTTGTGTGTGTGTTCCTCTTTACCTCCAAATGTCTGACCTTTTAACAGCCTCATTCAAACGCCTGCAAAATGCCAGCAGCATCTCATTTTTGTGCAGCTCCACATGGCTCCTCACACTCAGGCTGCCATCTTCACTTGTCACCTACGCCCACGCTTCAAAAGGAGCCGCTCATGCTTTCTCACCTCAATCACATGCCGAATCTTTGGAAATGTTCAAAATCCAAGCACCTTCATTCAAGAATCCTGCCTCTGCCCTCTGTGTCTGTGTGTGTGTTTCATACCTTTTCCAATGAATCGACACAGACTTTGAGTGATTACATTTAATGGAGAGTGGCCATTACAGCCCCCAAGAGTGGAGTGTGTGTGTGTGTGTGTGTGACTGTGTGTGTTGTTTGTGGTTGCTTGTGTTTGTGTGCCCTCGCCTTGGCGCCTTGCCAGAACGCGCTCGGGGATGCCCTGCATCATAATGACCGCTCGGATAAAGCCCCCTGCTGCTCCTCCTTCTCCGGACGGCCGACTATCTCGGCGCCCCTGTCGCCTCCTGCCGAGACCCAAACGTATAGATCCACCATTGTAACTATGTGCTTTCCAAGTCTGCCTCCCTGCTCTGCCTCCTGATTGGTGGATGCAGGAGGTGGTGTGTAATGTATACACAGGAGGTGGCTGCTGCCGCTGGGGAGGTGGGGTCTACTCACTGAGGTGAGTTGAGCCTGATGTAAAGGTAGTGGTGGAGATTATGCACAGTGCTGACAATACATATTTGGAACTGCACTGAGCACGCTCACGCCGTCACCTCATCTCCAGCGTGTCACGCTTCCTCTGGCTGAACGAGCGAGATGAGGAACGTTTTAATGAGAAAAAGGAGGGGGAAAGGGAAAAAAGGAGCTCTGCAGGAGGAGAGGAGAGGCAGATATAAAGTGTTTCCTGCTGCAACGGCTGCAAGTTTGGGGGGGGGTTTTTGCCTGCGCCTGCACGCAGCTGATTAGTAAGTTCACATCTGCATACCTGCAGGACAGACACACCAACATACAGACAGGCAGACAGGTGAATAATTACAGAAGAGGGAAGGAAGTGACTCTTCACTTTAAATGCTCAGAAGGGCCAAATGAGAGGCCCCGATCAGCGTGCACGTACGTTCATCTGTGTGTGTGTGTGTGTGTGTGTGTGTGTGTGTGAATTTCTTGATGATGATCAAGCACTACTCTGCCCCTGTGTCCTTGAACCTGGTTGTCGTGGTAACAACCACGGCGTGAGCTTCCTGTTCTTCTGACATCATGCTCACACATGCTGTATTTATAGGACGGCAAACGTGAGGATGGTTTGAAGGATAATGGCACAAAGTCACTTTTCAAGGTGCTCGGCAGGTCAGCACAGAGGGCTTGCAGCAGTTTTGTCTCTGCATTTTCAGGGCAGTGTGCGATAGAAGAGATGGTAGCAGAGGCAGAAAACTGTTCAGCATATTGTTAAAGAATTAGATTTCTTTGATCTGTGCAAAGATCTTAAACCTTTCAGTAAATACTCTGGCACCATCCACTTTCCTGTATCTACAGAGCTAAGTCTGGAATACAAAACTGCTGATATGAATGTATTAAAATGTCAGCTTTAGCAGCATGTTGTTTACTTTATAGGGACAATATGTTGGTTAGAGATCCCCACCCAGATAGCAGTTTTAGTACAAATAGCTCCAGGGACAGGAACCATCCATTTTTCTTAACCTCTTATTCAGTTCAGGGTCCTTAAAGACCAGATCCTCTCCAATCTGTAATAAGACAAGAGGTAGGGTACACCTTGGGCCAAAGCATCTCCAGTGCTTCTGTGTTGTTTAGTTCAGGCCATGTTGGTAAAAGGCAAGAGTGGTATAGAAATAAGTTTGCCACGATCAACCATAAGTGGTGTTATTGCAATGCGAAAGTTTTTTGGAACCACAGCAGCTCAGCCAATGTTAGACCAGGTAACGTTACAGAGCGGAGTTGTGCTGATTCCATAACTACACAGTTTTAAACCTTCTCTAACATTAACATCAGCAAAAAAACAAAACAAACGTGTGCCGGGAGCTTCATTGCATGGGTTTTCATGGCCGAGCAGTTCCTTTAAGTGTGACATGAAAGTGGCTCAATCTCACTGATACTGCACATCACATGGTCAGATGGTGTCGTAAACCTCCTCCTGCCTCCTCCTACCCTCTTTGAACTACACTTACTCTCTATAATCGGAAAAATATGCAGAATTTCTAGATGATACATGAAATTTCGTATTTGTAGCTGTTTGTCTTGATTTGCTTGAGCGAGATTTCAGTGCATGCAGGTAAGCTGTCCATGTGGTGACAAAAGATATCAAAAGCATTGCCAACTATCAAATGAGGATTTAACCCTTTTGAAAATATTTTTCTGCATTCAGAGTTGAACTATTAACAGGCAGGAAATTTAGGTCCAGACAGGCGATGTCCATGCTTGATGTTCCAAAAGAATAAAATTTCTACTTGTAGAGCTTACACCTTTATGTTTTGGATCGCGATCTTTATGCCCTGGAAGTCCCGAAACACTGGCTATTAGTCCAAGATGCTCAGTAACCAGACTGAATCAATGGGTTCCCAGATTTCACCACAACAGTATAAAAGTGCAGAAGAATGTCGATGGTACTACTTCTCTTTCTAGCTCTTTTTCATTTCTTACTGTTAGTGTCTGGATCTTTCACATGAAGAACTCACAACACTCAGCATTTAGTCTGTTTGTGCCATTCCAGTCTTACTCCAAAGCTGTTCTTAAACAGTCCGTTTGAACATTAAACCATTTTTGACCTCCCAGCTCTCTTGCACAAAGTCCTTGTGATGTCCAGTTGCAGTAAAATAAGAATAGAGCAGGTATTTGACTGGAAAACAGCCTGGAATGAAACTGCTCAGCATTTCCAGTATTGAGAACCAGCATGAAGTGGGCTCTGTCCTGTGTTGTGTACAACATTGGGCTTTATTGACCAGATTGTCCAGCCATTTTCCAGAGTTCATGTGTGAAAATGGCTCACGAGTGCCTGAAAAATCTGTAGTAGGACTCTTTGTAGCTGAAGGTAGTTCAGTTCTTTATGACTAGCTGGATGGTGAGGCTCATTATCATGCTGCAGAATGATGATCAATCAAATAGCTCCCTAAAGGCCATTTCAGGGTTTCAGTGCGCCTGTTAAAGCTGGCCTGATCTTCTCACTGCCAGGTCGCCATTACTGCACAGATGCATGAAACGAGTCTGAGTGCCTCCGATTTTAGAAGCACATAATGAAAGCTCATGCGAATGCAACTTTTGCACAGAAAATGTTTCTCCATAGAAATTAACAAAGAAAGGGTCAAGATAGATAAAAGTTGCCATGATTAATAATTCTTGAAGAATAATTCATAAATCCTCATCAACCATCTGAAAAACGTCTTTGGCCATTTTAAGGAAGTACACAAGAAAGAGGAAGTCAGCCAACTGGAAACAGAAAGAGGAGTAATTTGGTCTCTAAAATGTATAGAATGGTGAAATCGCATTGCAAATTCTCAGAGAGCAAAATAGTTCACATTTTATTGTGTTACAAAACAAATCTTCAGTGTTTGAGAAGCTGGTAGAGAGAAACCAGAAAATTAAGTCAAGACACATGCGCCAATTTACTTTCACATCACTTCTCCAAAGCTTTCAGAGTAGGGTTTATTCGATTTACTTGTTAGCTTCTTTCTCCATTTTGAACCTAGTGAGTTAAACACCCAGTTTGCCAAAGCTGAACACACTCTTCTGGATGAGAAAGGAGACCAACCGAGAAGGGCTGTTACTCTGAATAAAGCCCCTGGAGATCGTTTTAACGTACGTAAGCCATTCCCAACCTTCAGACTACTGTGGCCCAGTTTTAAATATGAAGATCTTTTAAAGCCCCTTTTTCTAAAATTAGTCATTTCACTTGGCTGATTTATTTTTAAAATTATTATTATTGTTTATTGTACATGACCGTTTGCAGGCACATGCAGTACTTTTTTATTTTGTTCGATATAAAACTGTGACGACTGGTAGATTTAGATTTTTTTCAGTGTTCAAACATAAACTTGAATTTTTAATAAAATATGTTGTATTCTGTTCTGTTTGTTGACAAAGACAGCCTTGTGGGTCAATGCAGGTCTGTTCTTTGACACAAAGTCCCAATTTTAAATAAACTAACTAAAAAGGCAGGTTTTTGTGCATAAACCTGTCTTTTTCTACTTTATTTGTTTTTCAATTCTCAGCTGTTTGGGATCTCGCCCATGCTCTAATCTCACAAACGCAGAGCAACAAAGGTGATTAAAAATTAATCTCACTTAACTTT